AGGTCTGCTTCTGTATTCTTGGGGCCCAGTCGGCAGATGGCGGTTCACACTGAGCCTGGTTCAATGGAGGTTTTTTCCTGGTAAAAGGAAGTTTTTTTCTCTCCACTGTCGCTACAAGCATGCTTAGTGTGACGGATTGCCTTCAAGTCAATGAGTCGATGCAATCAACTGGTTTTCCTTAGATAGAAAACTGAATCAATTCGACTGTATGATCTGGTTGAACTGTAAAGGGCCTTGAAATGACATTTGTTGTGAATTGGCACTATATAAATAAACAGAAATGAACTGTTATGTTGCACTTTCTTTAATGAAGAAGCTAAGCTATGATGAAGAATAGACAGAGTAAACATTCTGCATGACTACAGACGGTGTGATTATTTAACTGATGGAAGAACAAAACTGAACAAATATGCACCATTTTTCTAAGTAAATATCTTTATAGAGAGCATCCAGATGCTTTTCACCAGATGTCAGTAACAATCCGCACATACAAAGAAATCAAACCATGGATGTCCAGAAATTAAGTTGTGTGTAATAAAGTGGAATGGCGTAGGGAAGAAGCATTGAACATGTGAAGAAAGGGAGGTGCAAACAGCTATTAAAAGCCAAGACACCAACTAAAATCTCTCAGTAATTAGAAAGCGATCCTGCTCCTGGTCAGTGCAAATTATTTTCAGCTGGTTCAGTCCTTAATGGTGGCCTATAAAAGGGTTTTACTGGTATCACACAAGAAACATCTCATGATTGATAAAAGTTAAGAACTTTCTTGCGACCTCCACAACCTTAATGAAGGCATTGGTACAAAGAGATTTCTAAACTTCTGAATGTTCCAGAGAGCACTGTTGGGACCATAATCCGGAATTAGAAAGAACATAATTTCACCATAAACCAACCAGGTGCTCCTCTTAAAGTCCACTTTTGGAGAGCTCCAGAAAGACCTGGAATTAGCAGGTACAATAATACACTAAACCACCACTGCCATTGCTGGAGAAAAAGCATGATGAAGCTCTTTTAAAGTTTGCCTTTAGACAAGGCTGTGAAATACTGGGAGAATATAGTCTGTTCAGGTGAGACCAAATTGAGAACTTTGGAGTCCATAATACAATACATGTTTGGAGGTCAAATGGCCCTACACTTCACCCCAAAAACACCACACCAACAGTGAAGTTTGAACATCATGGCATGGGGCTGTTTTCAGGATATGGTACTGGCAAACTTCATAGAATTGAAGAAAGGATGAATGAAAAAATATACACAGACATTTTTAAGAAACATCTGTTACCATCTACAAGGACGATGAAGACGAAACATGGTTGGACATTTCAGCAAGACAATGATCCCAAACTCACTGCCAGGGGAACTCTCTATTGGTGTCAGAGAACGAAAATAAAGCTGCTAGAATGGCCCAGCCAATTTCCTTGACTTGAATACAATAGATCATCTATGGAAAGAACTAAAGATAAGAGTTCGTAGTAAAGGTCCACAAATCCATCAAGACTTGAAGACTTTTTGTGAGGAAGAATGGGTCAAAATCACACCTGAGCAAGGCATGCGAATAGTTTCTCCATACAGGAGGCGTCTTGAAGCCGTCAATGCCAATAAAAGGCTTTTTTACAAAGTCTTAAATACATTTCAGTAAATGTGTTAAATAACCCCCCAGTTATTTCACTCTCTTACAAATAACTTAATTTCTTGATATCTATGGTTTGATTTCTTTTTATGTGTGTATTACATGGAATGCATGGATTAAATTTGTCTAAGTTGTTACTGACATTTGGTGAAAATGTCATGCCATTAGCACCCTAGAAATATGTTTACTGGGAAAAATGGTGGTGTGTTCAATACTTATTTTATAAGCATACACTATATTGTATACACTACTGTATACAGTATAGATCTGACCCCCCCACCAATTATGTTAGAATTTATGTTAAAGATAAATTATTGGTTAAAAACTACTGACATTCAGGTTCTAGAGATTTAAGGTCTCATGTGCCAGCTCCATCTTTCTTTTTTAAAGCTAACATGTGGAAATTAAACTAAATCTGGCATAATTAAATTTACCAAGCAATGACCATGAAGAAAAACTTAAGAAACGTTTCTTAATCATCCTCTGAACATTTTATTACCATTAAACAACTTATTTTACAGCTTTAGGTTGTCGGAAAAATAGAGAAAACATGGGAAAAAAATTGTAACTTATATGAAACCATATGAAGTTTTAGAACCCATGAGGTTTATATTTCTGCTCAGTACATCAATCTAGAAGTAATTACATTAATGGATGGATATTTTATCGCAAGTAAAACACAGAAAAGGTCTCTACTGTTCAATCTGTGGTGTGGGATATCACACCACAGGATTGGGTGTGGGTTGTGTGCGGCTTTTTAAAAATCTCCGATTGCATTTTTTGTCACTGACTGCGTAGAGAGGCTCCGACTAGCAGGATGAGCAGATCTTTGGGGGAATTTTTTTTCCACTTCTGTCTCTGTGCCACACAAATTAAAACAATATATTAAAAATAGATAACTGGCGCAGTTATAAAGCCAAAAGCCCACTTAATGAGTCTGTGAGGCATCTCAAACCAGAACAGAGAGATACTTTTTATAGGCCTATGTTAAAAACATAATGGGAAGTATGTCTAAAGAAAGGGCAAATGCTCTGTTGTGGGATGGTTTATATGCTGGCTAAGGCAGAAAGAGTTGATTCCCAGAGAGAGATCTGTGAATGATACCATTACCTGCACACTGTTTTTTTTTTGTGAGACTCAAAGGACATTACTTTTTTTATATCCATTTTCTGTCCCCCTGAAGCTTGTTGAAGTTTTTTTTTTCCTTGAAGACATAGAGATAAGCTGTCCCTTGTTTTTATGAGTCTCAAAGTGAATCACTACTATATCTTTTTTCTGGCCTCCGGAACTATCATGGGTGAAGTTTTCAGTTTTTGAATGTTTCATTGATTGTTTTTGCATTTGTCTGTCTCGCTATATATGATCTGTGCGACTCCAAACCTGGCTGTTTCTCTGTGCGCTTAACAGATTTTAATTTGTATTTTTCCCCAAATCGGATGTGTTTTACTTTATAACCGCGTCTCTCTTTTTGGTATGGCCTATACAAATCGTGCGGTAAAGGGTAGTGGAGGGGCGAGCGGTGAACTCCACGTGGTGAGAGCATTCACTGCTCCTCCCTCTCCACTTGATAGAGCTGAGGTGTTGTAAAAAAAGCAGCACCGCATGGAGAGAGAGGAGAT